AAAGCTAACTGTTAAGGAGAAAGGTGTGTCTCAAAGTAACAGGATTTTTTGATTCAGAAAATTTTATAGAAAAGAATTGGGCATAATGTACCTTGAAGAAATTTGCAAGGTCACAGTTTAACTGTTAATTTCACCAGTTTATAGCAGAGGAATTATTTAAACTGGTGTTGGTATGCATGTCAGTATTGCTGTTAGTGATTAAAAAGAAATTTGTGCATCTTAAACTTCTTGTAAAGATGCTATCTAGTTGTGGAGTGAGCTTATTCAGTTGGAGAACTGACAGAGTTCCTTGTAAATGTATTTCTGTGATGAAAGGAACTCAATGCACTACAAATTGCTGTTCAGGCATGTGATTTTTCTTGTTAGTTTGTTCTTGATGATTTCTCCTTTCCCTGTCTTTTAAATTGTAATGTCTTATTCTTGGATGACGTTTTTGTGCGTTGCATCTCACTTAACTGTTGTTCAGTTTTGGCTTCATTTCTTCGGTACATTACAAATTTTGTGTTTGACACTGAGTTTCCATGTGGTTGCATCTGTTTGGACTAGAGATGGTTTCTTGACATTCTTATGCTTTCATCCAGCTGTTTGTTTCGTGATTTGTAAATGTCCAAAGTCAGAGCTCTTGATTTAGATGTTTGCCCTACTCTGTAAGAAATTGTAATGACACTTGTATTGGTGCACCCTATACTCCAAACATGTTTGTTGTTTGTATCTGCTTAAGAGTGACTTAAATTACAGTAACCTCTCATTGAGCTTTTTTCTTTGGAGAAATATCATGTAAAAAATTTAAAAAGAAAGAAGGGTATAAAGCTCTTACTAATGCATGTGAAGTCGTGCACAAAAATAACTTTTTAGATTTTTAATGATTCAGTAATAAACCCTGGATCATATGAGTTTGTGGAAATCCTGGAAGACCATTAACCACTGTAATGTGACATTGTGGAGGCATTGCCAATTGGAGCAAATGATCCGTATGTAAGACAAAACTTTGCAAAATGTTTCCTTTCTACCTAGTAATGCCATCTTGATCTCTTACTACTTACAGGGTTTTACAAACTGGAATAAAAGAGACTTTAACCAGTTTATTAAAGCTAATGAGAAATATGGTCGTGATGATATAGACAATATTGCCCGTGAGGTGGAGGGAAAGTCACCCGAGGAGGTCATTGAGTATTCAGGTTTGTGATATATTTAAATGTATTTCTTCATCACGTGGTATGACCATCACTTTTGTTACATGTTCTTTTAAAATTAGAAGATGTAGAATTTGAATGTGTATAAGAACAATTTTTTTTAAAGTACATGATGGTTCTTTTCAGACGACTTATTTCTGTTAAAAAGGTTGGATTTGCAGCATATAAATACAACTTCAGCTGCCTTTATCCCTCCTTAATCAAAATTTAGAACTTTGACTACAGTTAATTATGTTGAATGTAAACTTTGTTACAGTTGTTATTAAACTTTTGCTTGTAGTTAACTTTTAAAGACATTGAATGAAGTGTCTGTGCAAGTTTATTTTTTGGGTCGCATAGTAAAAGGGAGAATATTAGCAAATCTTTAAGATTTAATGGAACAACAAACTGCATTTTTTTTTTTTCTGGAGTGTTTCAACAGAGTAAAGTAATGAGTAGAGAAAAATACTTGGTTTTACAATTTTTTTTTTCTTTTTTAGCTGTTTTCTGGGAACGCTGTAATGAACTACAGGACATTGAGAGGATTATGGCTCAAATTGAACGAGGAGAGGCAAGAATTCAACGGAGGATCAGTATCAAGAAAGCCCTTGATGCCAAAGTAATAATTGCAGTTTTTTTTCTGCACCTGACTTCTTCCAAATTCCTTCAGAAAAGGAAGAGTTGGGCATCGGAGTTCTATCTTTTTATGTAGCATATATCGTGTATCATTGATCAACACTAATATGTAATAAATGCTTGATGCACTACTGTATGTTTAATAGTCCTTATTTTTGTTTTGCATTCAGATTGCAAGGTATAAAGCACCTTTTCACCAGTTGCGTATTCAGTATGGAACAAACAAAGGGAAAAATTACACAGAAGAGGAAGACAGATTTTTGATATGCATGTTACACAAGATGGGCTTTGACAAAGAAAATGTGTACGAGGAATTAAGGCAGTGTGTGCGCAATGCTCCCCAGTTCAGATTTGACTGGTTTATCAAATCTAGAACTGCGATGGTAGGTATCAGTTACATGGACCAAGTCATGTGAAGTATCTTGTTCCTTTCTTTGAACACCATCACATAAAGTTTTGATTTGTGCTAGGATATTGGAGTCTAGGAAACAAGTGCTGAAAGAATAACTTTGGTTTTTATTCTAGTTTCTAGTTATTAATAAAATAACCTTTTCCCTTAGTGCAGCAAAAAACACAATACAGCTGAAACAGATTAGAAAACATGACAAGGTGAAGTCCCATGTTACCCAAAGGGATTAATGCAGGGTCCTTACAAATGGCCTTGTTACTTTTGTTGCAAACTCAAAGTTTTACCAAACAATGTCTCTTAAAATATGACTGCTTTTCAGGATTATGGGACAATATTAAAGACTGAAAGCATCTGAATTCTATACTGGGAGAAAAGAACAGCTTCTCTAATATTGGCACTTAATTTCTAAAATCATGAGGAAATTGAGTGATTCATGTAAGAATTAATCATTGAAGCAACTGGTTTAAAATGCACTTTGTAGTTTTGAATAAGGATTATCACATGCAAGCGTTTAAATTTCTTTAATTATACTTTTCCTGAAGACTTTGTACTTAGGGGATGTAATACAAGTTTGATAGCAAGTAGACTAGTAGTCTGAATTTTGGCTGTATTTTTTTCCTTTCTCTGTCTGAAGAGCAGAGCCATAGAACCATTCTTTTTTAATTTAGTCATTCAGTGGGAAGTAATAACACCAACAGAAGCTTTGGTGGTTGCAAATAACAGGTTATGTAGGTACCAGCCTCAGAATATGGGACTCTGTTAATGAGAAAAAAGCTGTTAGCTCTGCCCTGGAATTTTTGCTGATCTCCCCTGATTCAGGTTTTTTTTTGTGAGTCTGTGCGCTTTATATAAGAAACACACACGTGCATTTTCACATGACTGTTTTTATATAGGAAAAATATACTTCCAGATTTTTTTATAATGCTGCAAATAGCTTCATCTTACTTGCAGTGAGCAAGAGTTGGAACTTTTTTTTGTGCTTGAATAAAAGATTATATTGGTCATGGCTGATACAAAAGAATGGAGCACAACTGTCCTTTATACAGCTGCCATAGATTCTCCCTGTTGTCTTGTAAGCAAACTTCTAATTAAATGCTATGCTGCAGTCATAACTTAATGTCATTTTATACACAAATCTGAATTTTTTATTAGTTTAGTTTAGCAACTGCAGAACTACTGTGTATTATTGTGTATTGTCTTCATTTCCTGGCCTCAGAATTTGTTTATAATACATTCTTGTGGAGTTGGAGTTCTGGGACTGTACAAGGAATAAACAAAACTTAAGAGAAAATATTTAAAATGTGTATTTGAACAGGTGGGAATATTTGCTTTTCCCAGTGCTACTTTAAGTTATGCAGTACAATTTCTACTTGATATTTCACCAATTTAGGTGTCTCTGGATAGTGCAGCAGTTAGCTCTTAATTAAAAAGAATTACAAGCTTTACTTGCTAAAATGTCAGTTTGAAGAAATACTGTATTTTAAAATTATGTCCATAAAGAGAGAAGCCTCCAATATTTAGTCTATTATGAAGTTTCTTTTAAGTTGTCTGTGGAGGAATCCATTTAAGTAAATCATAGGAATGGGTACTAGAAATTAAAAATGTAGTTCAACATTTAATGTAAGTTGACATATAACTAAATCAGGGGTAGAGTTAAATATTCAGTTTAAATTCTTGTGCAGATGCTTGTGTTCAGTATAATCTTCTTTTTAAAGGTGATAGAAATAATTTGCTAAAGTGCAGAAATATGTTCTATGGTGTCTAATGCTGAAATTGAGGCACTGGGAATATAGTAAATCTATTGGATTATGTTTTCTCTTAAAATTCTATCCATTAATACTATTTTAGTTTTTCTGCCATTGTACAGTTGAAAAAGAATAGTATGAAAATACAAAGCTAAAGTTATCTTTTACTTTAAATATGGATTCAATTTTCTTAAATGTTTTAAATTGTCATGGTATGTATGGTTAAGTAGTTTATAACTGCCAGTTGCTGATACATTTTATGTACTCAAATATCCTGACACTTGTGCAAGTATTAATTTCTATGGTTCCATTTTGCACTAGCCTGGTAATTTTTATGAAGAAATGTGCTGGAAAGTTGTCATCTTAGAATACTGAAATTCATATGTGATCTCAGAATTACTGTATACTTTCAAAATTATACAAAACAAGATAGAAAGGGCAGCATAATTCTGAAAAGGATGTAGCAGGCTCTTTGAAAAACTTTGTGTTCTACTAACCACTAGATGTCTCTTGAATTCCATGTAAATAGCTAATTTATCTTGCATCTTCTGTTTCTTCACCTTTTGAAGATTTCTCTTTGGAAAAAAAAATTCTGCTTCATTTGTTTATTCCAAAACCAGATAGTTTACCCAAAACGTAAGTTTTTCAGAGAGATTGAGAATGCCTTAAATTGTGATTTTTTTTTTTTTTAAATTTTTTTTTTAACTGGGCACTGAGGTTTAAATTTTTAAGTTTCGTTGTTATTGTTCTTTTATTTCTGTCCATGCAGGAAGAATGCAAAATACTATGGTGGTAGTGAATCATGTATCTGTTTTCTGAAGTCATCAATTATGCCTATTCTCTTTTACCTTTTTGCAAATTCTGTGCAGTGTAAGACACGACTCCTTTGTAAATAGAGGAATATATGGGCCTGTTGACAGAGCTTAGGACTACTTTCACTCCCAAGTCAGCATCTCTGCTTTCAGTCATGTGGAAGGTGATGGTTCAGTGCTCTCATCTTATTTGTTGCAATCCTGGTCTTCATAGTTGTGAAGGGATGAGCAAAGTACATCTTATCTCTTTCCATCCTAAAGGGAAAACTATCAGGCCACACTGAATAAAATATCATCCCTAAAGGTGCGAGGCATTTTAAACTCTTAAGTGTATTTGTATAGTAATAAAATGGAATGGATCAGTCCCTATTGAAATTTCAGTAGCTCAGCGCAGGATTTATCATGCAGATTCTTTCTGATGGTAGGTGTAGAAGGAACCTGTGTGCATGTCACATCTTACTGTCAACTGCTTCTGTGGCTCTCCAGAGAGGATTGTTTTTGAGTCCATCCTCTGTCCACAGCATGTTGTTCTGGCATAGTAGTCCATCTGGAAAGTCTAACCATGAATCCGTACCTTTAATAAATGTATGTATTTATGCAAGCTTTTTTCCCCAGGAAAGAGGAGGATTTTTCTTCGTGCCTTAGGCAAATGGATGAAGGTTATTTCTTAGTCTTTGCTGATTATGCTTGTCTTGAATTTAACACAAACCAGTTTCTCATACACAAGAAAAGATCTAGAAGATTGTTATTATGGAGCAGCTCGTCATCAGTCTTTACCTGCAGCTCCTGAAAGTCTTTGAGTGCAATGTACACAAATTTAAATGATGTAAAATGCTTCTGACATATTGACAATCATCTTTCTACTTCTGTCTTTTAATTTTTATCATCTCTATTCATCTACAGAGTGTAGATTTTTGGGAGAGAGGTGCTCTTTTCTTCTGTGTTTGGGGATGCAATGTATGTTGGAATGGCTTGCACTCAATTTTCCTCAGACTTGTCGCCTTTTATCTAAAAACTGCTGTGTGGGTGGAATTTGAAGGTTTTGATTGTCTGAAGTAAGAGTATTTTAGGTCCAGCAGGACTGTCACATGCACCCTAATTTATGATTGAACCTGTACTTGGGAGTGTGGGGTTACTTTTACATGGATATGGTAGAAATGACTCATTATAATACTTTATAAAACTCCATGCATGAGACTGGAACATTTCCAGTAGGGAGTTGTAGGACTTAAGGAATCTGGTTAAGCTTGAGGGTATTAACATCTCAAAGATGAGTCATGTGCTTGACTGTTTCAGAATATTCAGGATCAAGAAAGTGTGCAGGCTGCATCGTTTTCCATCATGTAACATGATGGATGAGGGAATGTACAGGTTACAGATGCTGAGAAAATAGAGACTAATTCCTGGGCAAAAAAGGTCACCTCTTCACGTCAGTGCAAAAAGACCAATTGTAGGTTAAGATTTATGCTACTGGGCAATTCTAGGATAGCTTGTGGTTCAGAAATTGCTTATTTGAATTTAATAGAGATAAGACATATTTTTCTGGCTTTTTTCCTTAGAAGAAAGCTTCCTGCTTTGAGTTGGGAAAAAAAAAAGCCCATGGAATCACTGTTCTCAATGTACATAGAACGTACTGAATAATTAGAATAAAAACAAGTACTATTATTTATTTGGTAAGATTTTTTTTTGCGATGGGATATGAGAAAGTGTCCAAGTCAAATGAGTTCTCTTAACCAAGCCAGCTGTTACTAACTACAATGCAGATCTGCAGATCCTTTAGAGTTATATTGGAAATAATTTTTTTTATGTGTAAATGACCTTATGGCATTTAATCTTGATCACTTCCAGATAGCTTGGAAGTCTTGATGCTAAAAGCATTTAGGGCTTTCCACCTGAATGCTACTCTACAGGGTCTTAACACAGAAAAACTAGTCTGTGCCACAGAAGAGTATTGCTTAAGATAGCTTCAATTCCTTTTCTCTCTGCTTTAAAGATATACTTGAAGACCTCTCCTCCTAAAATCTGGCATAGTATGCTAGCAGGCTATAATTTGCTTCAGCTAAACAAGATGAAAGATGAGTTCAGTATTTTAGGATGTCAGTTTGGAGGATATAGACAATCCTGAAAACTTGTTAGAAACTTGAATATTTCAATAAATCTCTCGCTGTATATAAAGAAGGTTGCACTAAGGTCAAGACAGATGAACAATAACTAAGCTAATCTTCTTAGTACATGAATTTTGAACTTTTTTGAAAACTTGCGTATTTTGGAATGCAATTATTTTGAATGCATTTATGTAAATGAGAGAATTTGTATAATTTCTTTAGAGAATTTGATGTTTTCTGTTTCCTTAGGAGTTTCAGAGGCGCTGCAATACTCTCATATCATTAATAGAAAAAGAAAATATGGAAATTGAGGAAAAAGAAAGAGCGGAAAAGAAGAAAAGAGGAGCAAAAGTTACAGCAGTATGTTTAGCAGCATTCACTTCACTTCTAGTGGGGCAGAATTCAATTATATTTTGTTAGAAAATGAAAAAGATAATTGTAGCCACTGATTGCTTTAGTATAAACCATTAGTTGAGAGTTTAAACTGCCATATTTGTCTACTCACAGCTCTCTTACATTTTATGTAGGTATTCCCTATTTATAGTGTTTTGGGGCTGCTTTTTTTCGAAGAGTCTTTTTAGTAGAAGAAGATGACTCTTTGCAAGAAAATGGAGCACTACCCTCTTTCTACCTACATATTTACATCGTATCTTTGCTTTAATTTAATCTCAGATTGTTATTCCTTCCCTATGCAGTAGTTCCTGTAAGAAGAAATTGTAGGAAATGCTTCTTTTATTTTGAAGAGTTGTCATATTTAGAACAGTTGTGTATAAGTCAAGGTCCTGGTATTTTCATCCAGTTCATGGTATGTGTGGTACCTGTGCCATTGAGACCATGTAATGATTTCAAGAAGACAAAAGGTGTAGCAGAGTTAAGTGTCTAAATCTGGGATTTTTGTTTGCCCTTCCATTATATCCTACAAAGCCGAATTGAATATATAATAAATCAGCGTCACTTATCTTCTTTTTGAATAGTTAGTCAGGTACTCCAGCTTATTTTTTTTATAATGCCACCGTTTTGTTGAATTTATAATTTTTTTTTCTTTTTAGTCACAGAAGAGAAAAGCAGATTTGGCTACTGAGAACTCTGGAAAAAAAGATGCCAAGAAAGTGAAGTCTTGAACCTGAAACCTGAATGTTAAATGTAAAAGTGCCACTCTCTTCTCTCCATGTACAAGTATTAATTAATTGCCAACTTCTTTGTATTTGTGGTACTCTCCCCCAAATCCCATGGTTTAATTTTGCAGATTTTGTATACTTTATGATGTCTTTCTTTACCTAGATTGTGTAGCTTTATATCTTATGCATTCCAGTATTTTTGTGTACTGTGTTTTGTGAGTTTCATGTCTTTGGCAAAATCCACTCAGTCCTTGTTTTTTTGAAGCTTGTGCTGAGGTTTTAGCTTTTATATGTTTTATATGCTGCTGCTTTGAAAGAAAACCTAGATTCTATAGCTGTATTATTGTTGTTTCATATTTTAAATTTATATGGCTGTTGGAAAATAAACTGACTGAATTATTTGAAGAGAAATATACTTCACCTTTGTTTTCCCTACTCTCTCTCCCTTTTTTGCATCGCTACATTTAGAGTGAATGTTAAGGTTTGTATAATTGTGCCTTCATCATCAATCAGATTTTTTTTCAGAGGAGTACTTAGGATCAGGAGCATGACAGAACAAAAAAATTTAATTAGACTGACATCCATGTTTGCTGTCAGCATTAAATTGACAGTTTTCTCTGAAATGTTTGAAAGGAAAGCTAGCAAATACTTTTTTCCTTTATCACTGGTTTCTGCTGGGCTTCATACATGCTTAACCATTGGGTGAGGTGTTTTTCAGAATGACCTCTAGATGAAAACTTTTCTATGCCTAATAAACTAAAGTAGTCAGTTAACAGCTTCTTTAAGTAACAAACACAATAATTCATCTTCTGGTTGGTAGGCTGCTCAGCCATGCTGCCTTGTGCTGAAAGATCTTTGTTGCTCTAATTATCTCTGCTAAATTTCTGCTTTTACCTTTGGTTCGACATGTCAGTCTGAAGCAATGGGGATATGTTATGGAGTGCTCCTTTTTAGTATTTCTATTTTAATGAAGGGATGAAAGTGTTGGATGTATGATTTTTTTTGACTTTGCAAGAATGGCCTTTATTAAGCAGGTTCATAGTTTCTGTTCACCTTGCAGTCTCTGCCTTTCCCAGATCAGTAGAACAGTGACTGTGGCATCTAATGTTTTGCTTTAATATTCTGTCTCTGATATGGTGTTTAGTGTGGACCTTGCTGCAGTGAGACATGCCCTCATAATGTCAAGTCTAGATTAATGCAGTGTGCTTTACATGGTACTTCCCTTGAAGACTACTTGTATATTTCTTCTAGTGCAGTTTGTTTCCTTCTGTGGTTTGAGGTATTTTGAGATGAAAAAAGCCTCTTTAAACTCTTTTTATTCCGTGCTTTGCACTGTCTACCTTCTTCTGTATTTGTAAAAATCAAGACTTTATAAAAAGTTCTTGAGTCTTAGGACAGAGTTCTGCCTGTATTCTTTTATGTCATTTAAAATATATTGGAATGTCTTTGAAGTTTTCTAGGATTAGTCTCTGTAAGTTTGAGTAGTTTCCAGCCTTTCTTCATGGTCTGTGTTTAAGGTTTGGGGCAAAACGGGTGTGATGACTTGGTTGAACATTTTGAAAGATTAAGGACTTGACTTCATATTTTGGAATGGAGCTTTTGTTTGGGGACCAGCATTAATTTTTTTCACTGGGCTTTTATTTGTAAAACTTGTAGTGTAAAAAAGGGTATTCATCTGTTGAGATTCATCTGATGACAGCTACATCTAATAACGATGGGGCACAACGTTCAGACAGAAGGTTAGTGATGGGTGTCAATGCATGCTTTTAACTGAGTATGCAACACAGATGGGATAAGTCTGATCAGAAGACTATGTATTTTCAAATAATATTTTTGGTATTGGTGTAGCTGATGTCCTGCTTTATCCTTGGGAGATGGACATCGTGTGTAATTATGGGCTGAAAAAAGGCTGTGCAGCTACATACATATATAATCACAAATTCCTGGAGCATTGCTATTAGTAGAGGAAGATGCCTTATTTACATTTGCTTTTTTGGCTCCTGTGTCACTGTGTTTATGGCCTGAAATTATAAAAACAAGTAGAAATAGGAGGGAAGTAAAGGCTGGAAGAGACAATTGAATTTTTATTGAATTACATGGCTAGGTCTAGATCTTATTCCGTTGCTCCTGTTTAGTGTTGGGTGAATATTTTGATGTTTAAAGTCTTGAAATAAGTGTATTCTGCTTTTGTTATTGTAGATTAGCTTTGTTTGACTTGCATGTTTTAGTGTATCCAGTTCCTGGGTTGCAAAGTGTATGGAAAGTCTTAAATGGTAATATCTCAGCTCGTTCTTCTATGCTGATTTCTTGGTTTGAGTTACCACTTGAGTTAATGTTCACTTTTCTACTCCTTCAATGATATGATACACTAGCTGTATAGCGAAAGATCATGCAGTTGTTCTTCCAGATATTATCCTCTTGATCTGACAGCTCCTCTGAAGAATGATAGACGCTCCCAGAACTGTCTGTTATCTCTTACAGTCTGTAGTTCCTAGTTAAACTGAATCTGCTGTTGAACAGTGGTCCTTGAGAGCACTTGTACGCTGTACACTAGTTCCACAGCATTTTGAGTCTTCCCATCCATCATGTCCCACAGTGATAACTAAAGAAAATTGCTAACAGCTGCTGGTCAGGATTAAAGTAAAATGGATCTTTCTTTTCCTTTTTTGTTCTTCTAGTTACAGAAATACACACAGTATGTGCCTAGGAGTATCCAAACGATATGCTGCTGTGACTCCAAATTAGATGAACTTAAATAAAGGAATTTTCCAGCTTTTAATTACTATTTTTTTAGGTGAGGAATGCTGTTTGTAAGAAATTTGTAAACACTGAATGTAATGTGATACAAAACTTCTGAAAAGTCCAGGCCTTTAGGCTATTTGATAGTTGCCAAAAATTTACATGATATTTTGAAATTTTGAAAATAATTGTTTCCTTTCGAGTAGAAACTAAAATTTGATTATGTTAATATTAGGCTTGAAGAAAGAAAAAGTAGTCATCTAGCACCTTTCACACGTCAAGCAGTGCACGTAACATCCTGGGAGAGGTCACAACAGTTGTGTTCCTTAACTTTTCACATTTATTGCTTTCGAATTATCAGTCCTTTTATTTTTGAGTTACGTTGGTGATGACAATCAAGTCACACAGCTGACCATCTTCATTATATTTAATTTCCATTTATTATAGTGACATAGAGAAGGAATGAAGCTTCCTCCCTGCTGGTATTATTAGACCATCTTTAGATACTATTTGCACCAGTAGCATTCCTACGTTAAAATATTGGGTAAGATTTTTTTTTCTTGTAGATTAGTATTGCTTGTTTGATTTGGTGTTAATGCTGCTCATGGTTTAAAAAACCCCAGCTTTCACTCTGAGATCGTAAGCAAGTGGTATAGCATACAGAAATTAATCAGAAGCTTTCTAAATGCGTAACAGAAGTTAGTTCCATCACGCAGCTCCTGCAGCACCTGCAGTTCCCGCTGTGCACTGCTACAATAGAGGCGCTCTGTGCACACCTCTTCCCCAGGTTCAGTGGAGGAATTGAGTACTTTCAGTGATCACAAATTAATGCCAAAGCTAAAAAATGTGGGCCTTACAGGTTGAAAAAGCAGATGGAATTTTGCCGTCAGGAGTGGTTTGTGTGAATGTAAAATGACATGGTTGGTGCAGACGTTGGCACTGGTGGTGTTGGAAGGGATTGATCACTGTGGTTCTGGTCTGGTTCAGATAGCTTGACAGTTGTTACATTTTACTTGTTTATCTGGTCTGTGTACTTAGCTTAAAGCACATAGGTAAATGCTTTGGTGGGTCACAGTTATAATGTTTGATATGTTATTTTTCTGAAAGAGTTAAAGTTGAACTTGGTTTGCATATTTTGAAATGTAATGTACTTCATAATTGCATTTGCATGATATCCATCATTTCATAAGAGCCTTAATAGGGGTAATATTTGCTGCCTCAAAGGTATGTCTACATTGTGTTGTTGAAAGATAACTTCTGAATTTTTTCAGATTGAGATTTGTTTCTTAAGTTGTACTTATATGAAAATAAAAGTTAATATGAACATGACGTCTTCTAGTAATTATACTTCTGGTATAGATGGACCCATGCACTTGGGTACTGTTCAAAATAGTTTGATCTGTTTTCGTTGCTGTTGTACCTCTCATAACCTTCAGGCTATGGTAGCTGAATGTAAGAGGGGGTGTGTGTGGCTGTTCCACATCTGCTTTCAAACTTTCTAATTTCCTGTAATCTAAAGTAAAATACTAGTACCTGTATTTTTGTCACAGCCTTGCCTGTGTTGTCTCTTAGTACGGTATAATACAATGTATGTTGATCCTGTATTAAAGTATCTTACTGTTTTTCTGTTATTCCATACCTCTGGTCTGTTTCTAAAATAAAATACTTTGTAGCTTAAGTCTAGGAGACACAGAATGGTAGGGACCAGGACTTTTGTCACTGCAGCTGTTGATCACTAGAAGACATGCTAGATATTCTGCTTGGTGCGTGTCCTAAATAAACGCTCAGTTTTCCACTTTTTTTCCTCAGGACAGCCCCCTAGAAAAAACAGGAGAGACAGCAAGGAGCTCTGGAAGACTGGCATTGGCTGGTAGCAATTCTGTCTGCTTCCCAGTGACTTGTGATAGACCTCACCCTCATTCACGGGAGACACCTAGACCAGGAAGGAGGAGCTGGGAGTAGAGATGTGGATCGTCTTACCTTGTTCTCAATAGCAGGCCAAAACAATTGTGGGTTCACTACAAGAGCCGTAGTTCTTCCAGACAGCTTTGCGTAGTGCCAGGCATGATCCCAGAGCTAGTTTCTACTACTTACGTATTCTCAGTCGCAGTCTGCCGTCACTAAAGTTTACCGTTTCCAAGATTTTTTGGAAGCAGTACCTGCCAGCTCTTCTGGAGAAGATGCTCTGTTCAAACATCACAACTTTTAATGGGAGCAGTGATCCCATCTGCAGAGCTACTCAGAAGCTGTGGAGTTTGGTGTTGTCACCTGATGATCGTTCTTGCTGTATGCATTCAGTGCTTTTGGGAAGGTCAGGCTACAGACACTTTTTGCAGGGAACAGGCCTTTTTGTTTCTACATGGCAGTTTCTTGCCATAAGAAAACAGGCTGGAAAGTCATCTTCATTTGTCTTCTCATTTGTTAATTAAGGTGGACACTGCTGAAGGCCACAATCTTAAATCACACTCAGCAGTTTGGTAAATGGCATTCATTATGTGTCTTCTTTCTTTAGCTTAACAGGTGGATATTCCTCAGGACACCGCCTCACAGTGACAGTCTAACGTCCAGTAAGGCTTCTGTTATTTCTCTTTCCTTAGAATTCTTCCTTTCACATTTTCTAAAGAAAGGCTTCTGAATTTCTAGATTCCTTGATTCTCATGTCTTTAGTCCTTTGGAGTTTTTTGTTTGGGGTGTTTTTTTGTTTTTTTTTTTTTACTTTTATTTTGTCCTTTTTGCTTAGGAAAACTGACTGCTGAGTATTTCAA